TCAATGCCATTTTGGAATTATAACCTTTTATTTAGGCTATCTGCATATATTTCCTCCTATATTAGGACTTGTTGCTATAATACCATGTTTTGATGTTACACTGCATTAAAGAGGTAATATTTTATGATTGATTAGACGATGTATTGGTTCACCAATACATTTAACATTTTGGATGACATAATGAGGTGCGACAACCAGCGATTGGATGACAATATTTACTGTTTTTTAAATTGGTTAATGACAGAATGTCTGTCTAACCAATGCTGATATGTTGCCAGGGAGGATTTGACATCCTCCCTCTCAGCTACTCACAATAGGGGGTGGAGAACACTTTTTTGGCTTTTTTTTTTATTCATGTGTTACACATGGGTTTCACTCCCATGTGAGTGAGGATTTTACACCATCCCTGACAGCTACTCACAATAGGGGATGGAGAACATTTTTTTGGGATTTTTTTTTTATTCATGTGTTTCACATGAGTTTTACTTCCATGTGAGTTTAGGTCAAGTAAGGTAACAAATTCTTTCAAACAAATGAGGTTAATTCTTGTATGATACTGTAGCAAGATTGACGTGCATATAAAGTTGTGTGGTAGAAATTGACTGAACTAATTTGTTTCAAATGTCAAATTTGATTAAATTAACCTTTATTATGTCCAATCTGATCTGACCTGACCTGACGAAAAGAGTGTAAAATTTCAATATTTATGCTAATTAATTTAAATTATTTGAAAACAATTACGTCGACACCCTCATTATGACGCACAGTTCACCAGCGGTGAACCCCTTGACGGGTTCCCATTTCCTATAAATTCCTCCTTTCTGCCCATTTAGTGGAGTACAACCAGGCCAAACACATCCACACCTAGTGTCAACATGAAATGCAAGGAAACTGCCACCGCCACAACCATCACCGGCGCCTCCGCTGCAATGTTGGAAGCATCTTCTCCCTCCTCACTCTCTCCTACTTCATCTCCAACTGGATCTTTTTCATCCTCTCCGCCACCGGCTATTATAGTTAGTCCTTGCGCTGCATGCAAAATCCTCCGCCGCAGATGCGTGGATAAATGTGTATTGGCGCCTTATTTTCCGCCGACGGAGCCGCTCAAGTTCACCATTGCCCACAAAGTTTTTGGTGCCAGCAACATAATCAAGTTGTTACAGGTATTTTAATTAAGCACATTAATTCATCAGCTTAAACAGTATTTTGTTTTTTGTAAATTTTTTATGAGACAGAACGATGGATTTAATAAGTTCTTTGTAATTCAACGAAAGAGTGTAGAAGATACGTTAGTGTAAAGAAAGATCACTCCGAGGCTATCACCGCTATACTATCAAAGAAAGAATTAAGCTCTCTTGACTTCGAATTGGAACCGGATTACTGGATCACTTCCTTTTCAAGGAAGCGATTGCTTAGGGACCTTGGCGTTGGATCTGGATTGTCTCTCTCTTGACTTTGGATCTTAGTTTCCAAAAAGTCTGTCCATACAAATGATCTAGGCCTATATTAAGAGTTCGAAGAAAATAAATGTAGCTCTTATTTGGTAGAGATTAAAATCTAAATTTTAATGTAAGTCAAAGTTAATAATTAATTTTAATCAAATAATTCATGAACTCACAACTTTTCAATCAAATATTTTATCAACTTTTATCAGAGTATATAAAATATTTGATTTTAATCTCTACCAAACAGAAACTTAACACTACAGCCAAGGTTTTTTGGGATTCTATTTCGATCCGAGAAGACCAATGTCTTTCTTTCTAATCCCATAATTTTTTTTTTCAATCATGCTGTATGTACAGGGGGAGAACCAGAACCCACACTGAGCACTCACACATGGGATGGTGGATAATTTTTTTTTTTTACTTTTTTATTGAGGTGGGTCCGTCATGTGAGAAGTTTGTACCCCTACTTCTGTACAAAGGGGAACCCCCTTTTTTTTTTTCCCTCTCTCCCCTATAATAAAGGAGGTAGAAATTAATAATTTCTCTTTATTTTTTTCTTTTGTTGACTAGAATTTTGCCACCTTTATCTATTCAAACTTGTGCCTGATCACACATGTAGTAGCCACAACTGAAAGGGAAAAGTACAATGGTCAATGGAAGTAGGCACCTAATTAAAATGACCCATGTTTTCAGCACATAACCAATATTCAACTCTCCTCACCTACATAAAGAAAGTAGCTAGCATCTAGAAGATATTTGTTATAATTGGAACTATTTAAAGTCAGTCTTCATCAAATGATATATAAAGAAATGATCTTTTAAATATCGATACTTAGTTTATCTTAAACGATAATAGACATATTAATTAATTGATGACCATTTAATTTCTAGAATTTATCATAAACTTATTCACAAATTAATTGATGTGACATGTCTCATATCAAAAAAAAAAAAAATTGATGTGACATGTCACGATGTTTAACTTAAAAGAGATAATTTTTATCTCTCCCTATATTGACAATTGCTCATTTTTACTGCTAAATTTGAAAAGATTATAAGCAACTTAATTGTTAGTAATCACATTAGGTCAGGGAATCCAAACACCCTTAAAAGTCTGCCTCAAGTTTGATGGTGTTTTCTTATTAAAAAAAATAGTTAACAATCACAAATGTTAATTTTTAATTTTGGAAACTTAAACTTTAGCATTTTCTATATATGTTGATTAGTATATGACATATATATATATGGCAGGAACTTCCTGAAGCTCAAAGAACAGATGCTGTGAATAGTATGGTTTATGAAGCCAACGCTAGGCTTCGGGATCCGGTATATGGCTGCGCCGGCGCGATTTGCCAACTTCAGAAGCAAATTAGTGAACTTCAAGCAGAACTTGCTAAAGCGAAGGCTGAGATTTTAAACATGCAGTGCCAAAATGCCAATTTGGTGGAATTTATCTGCCAAGAAATGTCACAGAATCAAGAAAACTGCCCTCAAGAACAGCCAAATGAGAATTCTCCATTATTTTTTGATGATGATTGGGTGTGGCTCGGGAGCCCCTCTGGACATGAACACATTTGATCAAATGGCATGAATTTCTAATCTTAAAATATCACTGATCCTACCTAAAAAGGTCATACTAGGGATTTAGATCTCGAACAGAAACTCGATCGATCATCAAGATATTTTAGTTGTTGCTAGAATGTTTTCTTGTATCGTTACTTTTCCGAAGGAAAAGCTACCACCAGGTCATTAAGGAGTACTGCAACTACATGTAATGGAAACTTTTGGGTGAAGTGAAGTTATCAAATTAAGTTCAATTTCAACTCTTTTTTTTTTTTTTCCAATGAACTTCCTTGTCAAACTTGTACTTGACCAGTTCTTGTAGGTGTCATTCTCACTTAGGTATTAGTCATGCACAATGTGAGAGAGGTGACACGAGTGTTTTATAGCCATAATATTCAATTTTCCGAACTTGAGAAGCTTAATTATGACTACATACGGGAAAGGATGTTTAACGCACGAAGAAAATTATTGAGTATGAAACGTGTTTGAGCTCCATTTTAATGTGATTTTGAAAGAAAATATATTTTAAAATAGTGATTTTTTGGAGAACGTGTAGTTAAAAGATANCTGTTTGGGCTTCATTAAAATTAAATTTTGGGAGAAATTGTGTATTGGAATGGTGATTTTTTGGAGTATGTGTGGGTAAAATTAAGGAAAAGTGTTGGGTTTACATGTAACATTATTTTATAGAAAAATGTGATTAACAATGAATTTTGAAAAAAATGTATTTTAAAAATAATGGAACCCAAACAACGGATAAGAATGCTCTCAATGTATTTTATTGTAATAATTACATAGTTGAAATCATATTTAAATACCCTATCTACTTACTATCGAGATGATTCTTAAGCATATCAATTATGTTTTTAGTATTCCATTAACTTTTATTGAAATTTTCGTGTGTCTATATAAGAGAAATTGTATTGATAACTATGTTGTTTATCAATAAAAAGATTTTTCTAGAAAAAGTGTGACACTTATCTATACCATTGGTTATTAGTTTCTAAATAATATAAAATAAATGAACAGTAAGGAATTGGAGTACCAAAAGTGTAGATTTTCCAAGTCATTTGTCTGACATAGAACTTGACTAGTTTTGGCTTAAAATTTCTCCTCAAAGATCTAAGAATTAATCTACTCTGACACAGAGTTTAGGCAGAGATTGGTGACAATGATGACGTGGCCTGTTTTAATTTGCTAGTTTTTTTTTTAAAAAAAAATTTCAACTTCCAATGAATGAATGACAAGTGTGCATTGTTATCAATCTCTGTCTAAACTCTCTGTCAGAGTAGCATGACTGAAGATCTAATAAAAAATTTCGGTGTACATACCTTTCACAATAGGGCACACAAATTTTTTATTAAGCATAGGTCCCCGGTATGAAGGGGTTGTACATTGGGGGTGTACAAATAGCAAAACCCAAGTTCAAAATCTAGAACTTAGACGAGTATACACTAAAGGGGGGGCGGCTGTGAAGGCTGTTAAACGGCTGTTGAA